TGCCTTTGGTGTTTGAAGCCTGGTCCCTTTGGCCCTTCATGATCACACATGTTGGTGTGCTGCTTCCATGTGGGCTTTGTTGCTTCTGGGCTAGATGGCTGCTTGTTTACTTTCAAGCCTTTAAGTCCAAAATGGGTATTTTCTAAGTCCATGGGTACAGGTAGCTTTGGGGTACGGCCCAGTTTGTTCAGTCAGGTTCCTATGTTGATTCCTTCTGGGGTGGCCCTTGAGGGATGCCATGTTGACTGTAAGGTCAGCATCCAGGGTCATCAAAGTTCATAGTCCATGGTATAGACCAAAGGACCAACTTCTTTTCTTGTTGATTTCCCCCCATTGTTTTCCATATTGTTTATGCTTTGAACCTAATGATTTATTTTCTTCTTTTATTGGAGAGTTTGTGTTGTCCTTTTTCCAGCTCTTAAAGGTGTTGGGTTAGGGTGATGATTTTGGATATCTCCCCTTTTTCCATGTGTGTGTTGATTGCTATCAACTGACCTATGATTATTGTTTTTGCTGTGTCCCAGATGTTTTGATATGTTGTTATTGTTCTCTTTGGTTTTATGAATTTTTTTAAATGTCCCCTTTATTTATTACCCAATAAGTATTATATTGTTTATTTTCCATGTATTTGTCTTTATGTTTCTGTTTGTTTTGTTGTTAAATTCTAATTTTATAGCATTGTGGTCAGAGATGATAGGTTTTAGGATCTTGACTTTTAAAACTTGAGAAATGTTTTCGTGCTTTGTGGCATAATATGGGGTCTATTCTTGAAAATGTTTCATGTGTGTTGGAGAAGAATGTATACTGTGTTTCTTGGATGGAACATTCTGTATATGTCTATGAAGTCGATTTTGTTGATTGTATGGTTGAGCTTTTTTTGTGTGTCTTTATTGCATTTTTTCTTGATTTTCTGTCCTTCCTTGAGAGTGATGTATTAAAGTCTCCTATTATTATTGTCGAGGCGTCTTTTCAATTCTGTGAGGATTTCAGAGAGGAAAAAGATCCTTGACTTTCCTCCTCGAGTAACAATATAAAAGCCAGGCTAACAATGAAAATTTGGGAATCCAGTTATGACAATATCTACAGAGATCTAAAACTCCCCTAATTGCATTTTTTGGGGGTGTGGTAGACAATGAAAATGCTAATATAATTTTTTCCTCTTAGATCTATGGAAATACCTGTAGCTGATATAAGATGTCCCAGATATTTCCTGGTAGCTAAGGCAAATTGCAGTTTTTCTTTTGACATTTTTGTGCCCCTGTTGGCCACGTAGTGCATTTACAGAATTCTGTCTTCAATGATATTTTGCCTGGAATTGGAACTCACCATGAGGTTGTCTATGTGCTGGAATACTACTGGTGCATATTTCAACTGAAATGGGGTCAAGTCTCAGTTAAATAACCATGGGAAGTAGGTAGAACTTTCACTGTAGCCCTGGGATAAAATTTTCCAACAATATTGTTGATTCTTCCAGGTAAAAGTGAACAAAAATTGGCTATCCGCGTGAACTGGGGTGCTGAAAAAGGCACTATCCAGAAGAGTTTCTTCTGTTAGAAGAGGTCTTCTGTTAGAATCAGGAATTGATCTGTCAAATTAAAACAGTCATGCAGTATGCCTTTCTTGGGGAAAAGAGTAGCAGACTTTAAGCCCTTAAAAACATGTATTTGGATGTTTGGGGCAGCCAATAGCAAGGATAGACCTGAGGCTAGGACTCACTGGATGTGGGACAAACAGATCTAAACCA